TACCATTTGCCTATTATATTCTTTGTTTATCTTTTTATTTATTTTTTTAAAGATTTTATTTATTTATTTGACAGAGACACATTGAGAGAGGGAACTTAAGCAGGGGGAGTGGGAGAGGGAGAAGCAGGCTTCCCGTGGAGAGAGAGCCTGATGTGCGGCTTGATCCCAGGATCCTGGGATCATGACCTGAGCCAAAGGCAGACGCTTAACGACTGAGCCACCCAGGCGCTCCTCAAGCCTTCCAATCTCTTTGTTTTTGGTATATTTCTTAATTTTCACAGAGTCATTTTTTCTTTTGTGATCCCATGTGAAATTTCTTTTTTCAGTAGCTGAGTTAAACCCACCTATCTGTATTCATTGATAGGTTGGATTTAATTGATCTGATAGATTTGATTGGTCTTGAGTCTGTCACAATTTTTTCTTTATTTTTCTAAATTTTTCCCTTTGTGGTTGCTTTGCGAGTATGTAGTTTGGGTTTTTAGAAAAGTTTATTTTTTTGCTCTCTAGTTGTTCTTAAAGAATTCTTCTAGTGAAATTCCACAGCTAAAAATTGTATATAATAAATGAACTAGTTTTATCTCATTGAAAATTAAAAGTTTATGTATGAAAGTATTCCAGGGGCCCCGGGTGGCTCAGTCATTAAGCGTCTGCCTTCAGCTCAGGTCATGATCCTGGGGTTCCCAGGGTCGAGCCCCGCATCAGGCTCCCTGCTCAACGGGAAACCTGCTTCTCCCTCTCCCACTCCCCCTGCTTGTGTTCCCTCTCTTGCTGTGTTGTCTGTGTCTGTCAAATAAATAAATAAAATCTTTAAAAAAGTATTCCCGGGCACCTGGGTGGCTCATTCGTTGGGCGTCTGCCTTCGGCTCAGGTCATGATCCCAGGGTCCTGGGATCGAGCCCCACATCGGGCTCCCTGCTCAGTGGGGAGCCTGCTTCTCCCTCTCCCGCTCCCCTGCTTGTGTTCCCTCTCTCGCTGTGTCTCTCCCTGTAAAATAAGTAAATAAAATCTTAAAAAATAAAAAATAAAAAAAAATAAAAAAGTATTCCCTATTAGGGTCAGTTTATATGAGGTCTTAATTTTATTCACGAGGTTGATTTCCCCTTGACATATTTCAGCATTTTAGATAGAATGTGTTGAGGTTTTTAAATTATACCTTACGCTTCTTTTTTTGTGTCCCATACATTTTCCAGTACCTTGAATCTGGGGAATGGCAGGTTACCTGTGCTCAGCGTCTAGTTCCAACCAGGCTTTACCAAAATACTACTATATTATTTGATAATTTAGCATGTGCAGAATGGCATATAAAACTACCTTTCCGGGGCACCTGGGTGGCTGTCGATTAAGCATTTCCTTTTGACTCAGGTCATGATCCTAGGGTCCTGGGATCGAGCTCCGCATTGGGCTCCTTGCTCAGTGGGAAGCCTGCTTGTAGCTCCCCCCACTGTGCTTTCTCCCTCTCTGTCAAATAAATAAATAAAATCTTTAAGAAAAGATAAAACTACCTTTCCTTTTAAGCTATATCTTGACAGATATGAAATGAACGATTTTTGGCCAGGGATCAAATTATTATTAAATATTTACATCTGAGGGGCGCCTGGGTGGCTCAGTTGGTTAAGCGTCTGCCTTCGGCTCAGGTCCTGATCCCAGGGTCCTGGGATCGAGCCCCGCATCGGGCTCCCTGCTCCGCGGGAAGCCTGCTTCTCCCTCTCCCACTCCCCCTGCTAGTGTTCCGTCTCTCGCTGTCTTGCTCTCTGTCAAAAAAATAAAAAATAAAAAATCTTTAAAAAAAATATTTACATCTCAAAATTGGAATTACAAGGAAAATGGTATTAGATATATAACTGTCCCTGGCCTCAGGTTTTTGTTTTTGAAGTTATTTCTTTATTAAGGTAAGAGGTGTTTATTGTTTGATTTTTTAGACTCTATAAAGAAAGAAGCCAACATTTTGGTGACTCTCTCCAGATATATTGCCAAGCATAGTTTTACATAAGCCTGCCCTAGTTATAAACACAGAATCATTTTTTTTGGTATCTAATTTTTTAAAGAGATTAAGTAAAACTTACATATATTTTTTTTCTCTTTCAGCGTTGTTGTCCAGACATGGTAAATAAATTTTTGGAAATGATTAAAGCAGAACTTGCAATTCCTGAAAATAAAAAGACTGGTGCAGAGAAAGGAAAATTGATCATGTTAGTTAGTGACTTTTACTATGGAAGACATGAAGGAGCTGTTGATGATGAACAGAAGACTTACACAACATTTAAATGCTTCAGTTGCTTGAAAGTTCTTAAAAACAATATTAGGTATGTAAATACTTATTTCTCTTTCCGTCTGAAAATTGGGATGCTACTGATGTAAATATCGTATCTTTATTTTCCTGTGCTATCCTAGATAAGCAATTTAAACACCTCCTAAGAATAAAGGCAGATTATCATGTCAAAGCATTTCTCTTTTATTGTATTTTAGGAGTTTAACACTTGATTTGTATTTAATACAGCTTAAGAAAGGGCAAAATTTATTTTAACTTAGAGAAAAATCACTTATCTATATTACCATTGAATTCAGAATTTTCAATGTGATATTTTTACTATTTAGCTTCTTTTGAATCTACTTTTCCTATCACAAGAAGTACTTTATCCAGTTTGACCTTTTCCATATTAGTCTTATTAAATGTTCTAGTTTTTCAATTCATTTTATCATTTTTGCCACATTAACCTTGCAGAGAAAGTGACATTTTTGATGATCTTTAGAGAAGTGCCAGTTTATGAAATATGTCAGCTTTGAGTTTATAATTTAACACATTTTAAAAGTAGAGATTTAATTTTCAATTTTGAAGGTTTTGAAGACTTATACATATATGCTTTAAATGTTAGGAACTTACCCTTTGCAGTCGTGGAGTAATATGGCATATTACATATCTACAATCCTAAGTAAGATAGTAACCAAAACAAAGTAACAAGATATACCCATTGGTATTTTGCATTGGTTACGTAGTCTGACATTGTCTTTTCAACATTTTATTATAAAAATTTTCAAATATTCAGCAAAGTTGAAAAAATTTTACAGTGAACATCTGTATATTTACCACCTTGATTCTACCATTAACATTTTACCTCACTTGTGTTACCACATACCTGTTCATCCATAGACTCTATCTGATTTATTTTACATTTCAGAGTAAATTGTAGACATCAGTGCACTTCCCTTAGATGAGATAGTCTTATGTATGTATATTGTGGCACACACACATGTATATGTAAACTTTTAAAGATATTTACCCTTGATAACTGTCCTTTGTAACTAGCATTCTTAAGTGTCCTATAGGTCATTTCTAAGCCTAGCATTTATTTTATTGTCTGATGAATCCTTGAGTCCAAAATGAAGTACATAGAAAAACCCTGAAATGCACTGCAATATAAACCTGAAACAATTATGAACGCTACATTTGTGGTAGTGCCTTATAGTTTTCATAGACCTTTCACATATATTATTCATATGAGTTTTTACACTTCTTTACCTCCTTTTATCAAGCCCTAACAGCCATCAGTTGCTAATGGCCCAGTAGCTTAACAGAAGAGAGTTGTGCTTTGAGATATAACACTGAAACAGTGTTACAATAGAACTCTGTGACCTGCTTCCATATCTTTACCTTTTTACAGTAAAATGTATCAGAAAATAAAATTAGCAAATTTGGTAAAATACATAGAAAAGTGGGTCCCTGTTTAAGTTCCTTATTATACTTAAATGTTAGGCATATGATATTAGAAGTTCTTTCAACAATAGCTTTTTGTTTTTTCCTGTAAGATTAGTCCATTTACTATTAAACATGAAATTTCCTTTTTTCTTGTTTTCCTTCCAAAAGACTGGTTACGGATTATCAGAATATCTAGAAATTTTAAGCTAAGCATATTTTATAACATTTAGAAAAAAATTTTTAAGACTTTATTTATTTGTCAGAGAGAGAGAGCAAGCAGGGGGAGCTGCAGGCAGAGGGAGGGGGAGAAGGAGGCTCCCCGCTGAGCAGGGAGCCCAATGTGGGACTCGATCCCAGGACCCTGAGATCATGACTTGAGCCAAAGGCAGACGATTAATGACTGAGCCACCCAGGTGCCCCAACATTTAGAAATTTTGTAGCATTTGGGCGCCTGGGTGGCTCAGATGGTTAAGCGTCTGCCTTCGGCTCAGGTCATGATCCCAGGGTCCTGGGATCGAGTCCCGCGTCGGGCTCCCTGCTCCTTGGGAGCGTGCTTCTCCCTCTGCCTCTCTCTCTCTCTCTCCGTCTCTCATGAATAAATAAATAAAATCTTTAAAAAAAAAAAAGAAATTTTGTAGCATTTTTGACATATTGTTTAGTAAATAAAACCTGAACAGTAGACACTAGGTAACCAAAGAGGTTAATATGTGTTAAATAACATTTTACCTTAATGGTAAAATCTAGGATGGCAAATTGATGGTTTTAGAGAATGATAGAAGCTAATAGTTCAAGATTTCTACTCTCTGCCCTGTCAAGATATTGTAGGATTATTTTTTCCTATATTAAGTGTCACTAAAACCAGTTAGGGCTATTTTATTCTGAGAATAGCTTTGTTGAGGGGGTTGCTTTTTCCCACATCTCCATCTGCTGGTTTGAGAAACGTGCACTGCTGATGGGGGCAGTGTAATAATTGAGAGATAGCTAGTTAGTTAACAGATCACTTTATACAGATAGATTTTATTTATTAAAGTTATGAGCTGAAAGGTTAATGGCTCATGACCTTTATATGTAAATATTTAGGCAAAACTAGGATTTTTTAAAACAGATTTTAATAGAGATGATGTTAAAATTAAAGGAGGAGGGGGTACCTGGCTGGTTCAGTTGGCAGAGCATGTGAGTCTTGATCTCAGGGTCATGAGTTCAAGCCTCACATTGGGTGTGGAGCCTACTTAAAAAAAAATTAAAGGAGGAAGAAAGATATTTCAAAGTGTACCATCAGCAGGAGATGTGAAAAGATAAATCTTAAAGCCTGCATATTACAATTGCTATCTAGGTTAAAGACACAATCACTTCATGATTATATCCTTTTGGGACTCATAATGAATAACTTAATATTTGACTGCATATTAAAGTTGTTAATTTGATTGAATAACTTTACTTTGAAATTTAGTAAAAAGTTTTAATAAGCCCTATGAAATCTGCCTTTTTATATTGTACTCTCTGCCATTGAAGGTCACAGTTCCTTCTCATAAGAAACCTATTATGGAATCTGACAGCGGAATGTAGAGCTGAAAAATGGACTGTGCTTCTGAGGGCACAGTCTGTGAAAAATGAAGTGTTTGTGCTCACAGTAAACCAGCATCATTAAATAAAACAAAAGTTCTTGTAATTAAGAAAAGTTCTTGTAATTATAGGTATTAAGATCGCTAGTACATGCATTTAGAAACCAAACCACAAATAAAAATACTAATTTGCCATTAAGCAGCTGACAACCTATTGTATATCTTTAAGGCCTTTAAAAGATTTCTCTCGGGACTCTGTAGCTGCTTTTGGTGATAGGGTTTTCTTTCCTTAAGGATTTTATTTTCAAAAGTAAATAGTACTTCATGTATGGAAAAGAAGCCTGTTGTTCTTTTTTTTTTTTTTTTAAAGATTTTATTTATTTGACAGAGAGAGACACAGCGCGAGAGGGAACACAAGTAGGGGGAGTGGGAGAGGGAGAAGCAGGCTTTCCGCCGAGCAGAGAGCCCGACACAGGGCTCGATCCCAGGACCCTGGGATCATGACCTGAGCCAAAGGTAGACGCTTAACGACTGAGCCACCCAGGCGCCCCTGGAGCATGTTGTTCTTTACAAAAATTTTTAAATATGAAATAATGATGAAGAGTTTTAGCAAACTAGTGGTATTTCATATTAACTATATTAATGGATTATTTTAAAACAAAGATGGAAAGAAAAATGTTTACTGAGCCATTTAATGAAAGTGATTATTAGGACACCTGGGTGGCGCAGTTGGTTAAGCGTCTGCTTTCGGCTCAGGTCATAATCCCAGGGTCCTGGGATCAAGTCCCCCATCGGGCTTGCTCTACCTCTGCTCTCCCCCTCTGACTGACAAACAAACAAACAAATAAATGTGATTATTTAAAGTGCATACTTTTCTAGAGGACTTTAAAGCTTTGGAGATATTTTGAGTACTACAACTGCATTTTTACCATTTAGGTTCAAATCCTTATTTGAGAGGTTTTTTCTCTTGGTTATAAATCTGCGTATTTGCACCCATTGGCAATCACTTACAGGTTTATGAACCACATGAAGCACCATTTGGAACTTGAGAAGCAGAACAGTGAGAGCTGGGAAAACCACACCACCTGCCAGCACTGCTACCGTCAGTACCCCACGCCGTTCCAGCTGCAGTGTCACATTGAGAGCACACACACTCCCCATGAGTTTTCTAGTAAGTCACGGTTTTATTGAAGTCTTGAACAGTAATGATTTTGGTCATCTAAACTATGAGGAATTCTTTAGAATTCTGATAAGAAACCTAAAAATAAGAAATAGACTTTGGATTTGAGGGCACAGTTGAAAAACACATTTTAACTTGTAGAAACTTTTCAGTAGAATTGCTTGCTAAAACCGAAGTCCCTCTTGTACATAGAAACTTCCTTTGCATACCTCATGCGTTCATTGTATGTAGGGGACTAAGTTAGAAAATCAGATTCTTTGGTCTGCAAGTATGAAATCATCGGTCTTGATTTACACTCTCATAAGAAAAGTAAGTGCAATGATAGTTAAAAATCACAGAGTCTGGGGCTAGCTAGGATTTAAATTCCAGTTCTGTATCTTATAGTTGCAAGATCTCAGGCAAGTTACTTAATCTTTCTGTGCCTCAAGTTCCACATCTGAACAATGGGGGTGAAATAGCAGTACTCTGTCAGTGATGGCATGAGAAGTAAGCTAATATAAGTAAAGTCCATGGAACAACATTACAGAGTTAACAACTATAGAAATGTTGGAGCCACCACCACGATTACTATCACTACTTATTGCTGTTGTTGTGGATGTACAAAATGAATCTTTTGTTTATATACATCCATAAAATGGTGTAATGTGTTTTTTTCCACTTTCAGCTATTTGTAAAATCTGTGAATTATCATTTGAAACAGAACATGCTCTTTTGCAACATATGAAGGACACTCATAAACCCGGTGAAATGCCATATATTTGCCAGGTACACATTCATTTTATCATGTACTTAGGTGTTTGTTTTATTTTCATGTGCCACAAAATAGTATTATTCTATCGCTCTTTTTAACCGTTAGAATAAAATGAATTACTAAAATTGGAGACCCTCTTCAATAGTGGAAACTCCCTTGATATAACTCTTTTATGTGGAGATGGTGGCTCGGACTTGGACTGGAGGCTACAGTTTACTGACCCCTCTACTAGACAGACAAAATGCCCTGCTGGAGAAGACAAATATATGGATTTTCTTACCATGTAGAGAAGAATATAGACATGACAGACAGATAGGAAATGCCATTAGTAATGGGGAACTCAACTAAATGCTTTGGGACTAGTATTTTTCCAGAATTTGAAGTGGTTCCCAATAAGATAGCAAGATAAGAAAAATTTCCTGTCATAGCCTGGATGCTATTTAAAATCCAAAGAAAAGAATATTCTATTTTATACAGCAGGAAGAACTTTCTAGGACAAGAGATGTCAGAGTTTGCAAATTCAAGCAAGGTAGGGAGGGTAGTAGATCTGAGAAGAAGGAAATCTGGTTATATTTAGGAATATATCCCTAAACTTTGAAAGGTAACTTTTCTGTTTCAAAGATTATACTTCCTATTTTCAGTGCTAGAATCCTTGGTTGTATATAGGCAACAGAGCTGAATTAGTAGTGCATAATATTCCTCTAAACAAATGACTCCTCATTGCTACTTTGATGTAATTGCATATCAGTTATAAACTTTCAAGTTAAACTAAACCTTCTTTATATTTCTAGGTGTGCCAGTTTAGATCATCAACATTTTCTGATGTAGAAAGTCATTTTAGAACATCCCATGAAAACACTAAGAACTTGCTATGTCCATTTTGCCTCAAAGTTAGTAGAATGGCAACTCCCTACATGAATCATTACATGAAGCATCAGGTGAGATTTAGCAGTTATTTGCTCATTTTGTCTTAGTAAAAAGGTAGATATATAAAACTTCGAGCATTTGTTAGATTTGTTCTAAAAGGAAAGTTAAGTGGTTCCAAATGACAATTAATTTACAATTTATGCTGAATGACTTTTGAAACTTCCACTTCTTTTCTTTGTCTGCTTCCTAGTGGTGATGAGGCTCTTGACTAGTGAAAATACAGAAACAAAGGTAGAAACAGGAACCCTAGAGTGGAAGGGAAAAGGGAAGATGGGTGAAATATTTAAGTTGAATATTTCAGGGGTCTAAGAGTGGTGAAAATGGAAATGATTTTGAAGGTAGTTAATCAAGAGCAGGGAAAAGGATATGTTTGAACTGGGGAATAAGATTGAGGACTCAATCTTTTTTCCTCCTCTTCAAACTTCATTTCAACTTTTTAGCTTTTCATTATGAGAAGACATGTGGTTGTCATTAGCAACCCAGAATGGTCTTCTGTAGCAGCCAGTGACAAAGGAAATAGCAATGACACTTATTTCTAGATATGTGAACTATGCCAGAGAACTATATTTAGGTTACAACTTGTTTCCTGGATGACTTTTGCCAGGTCTGCTATGTAATTTCTGGGATACCAGTGTTAGTGCTTCTACCTTTCTCTTGAATTCTCATTTTATTCTTGCTGGGTCTTTTACTGACACAATTAGACCATCCTTTAGTTAGGCTGAAAACTTTGATGAAACCGTAAGCCTATTCCTGAGTGTTTGAAAGAGCAACAGTACCTTTGCCAAAATTAGAAGTCAGTGAGTTTACTTAATGTGATTATGTAATCAAGTTTTGTCTCCTCACTGATCAACTCATTACATTTTCTTATTATTGATTGCATTGCCATGGCCAATTTACTCAGCACTGGTGCTAACACTGTTTTCAGTTCCAGTCATTAGATGATCATGAAATCAACTTGTAGTTGTTAATTGAAAAAAAAATTATAAAAGTAGAATATCCAGGGGCGCCTGGGTGGCTCAGATGGTTAAGCGTCTGCCTTCGGCTCGGGTCGTGATATCAGGGTCCTGGGATCGAGCCCCACATCGGGCTCCCTGCTTGGTGGGGAGCCTGCTTCTCCCTCTCCCTCTACTCTTCCCCCTGCTTGTGCTCTCTCACTCTCTCTGTCAAATAAATAAATAAAATCTTAAAAAAAAAAAAAGTAGAATATCCAAGTACAATCAGGATCACCTATGTTATGAATGGGATGGTTCCAACATGCTGGTATGGCATATCACCGTTAAGAACCTCTGGCAAAATCTTTCTATTCTAGAGTTTCCCCAACAGTTTTCCATCAGATGTTAATAGATATTCCACTCTAAAATTGCTCCTGGAAAAACAAATTCAGTAAATGGCTAGATTTATAAAATTAAGTTTTTTATTTTTAAGATTAGAGCTTTTAAAATGCTGGAAAACCTCATAAATCTCCAAGGAAGGGATATTGTACATATTGTTTCCAAGACTTATTTAACCATTTATTTGCACAATACCTATTAACATTTCTTGAGAAATAGTTCGGAAAATGCTGGTCTTGGTTCTCTATTCCATCTTTTGACCTTTGATTTTGGGTTTTTTTTTAAATATTTTATTTATCTGATAGAGACACAGCGAGAGAGGGAACACAAGCAGGGGGAGTGGGAGAGGGAGAAGCAGGCTTTCCGCTGTGCAGGGAGCCCGATGTGGGGCTCGATCCCAGGACCCTGGGATCATGACCTGAGCCGAAGGCAGATGCTTAACGACTGAGCCACCCAGGCGCCCCTGACCTTTGATTTTGAAAGGAAGGATGAGATGTAAAACACTGGCTCTATTTCACTATGAAGCTTTTAACATAGTGCTTTCTGCCATGCTTTCCTAAGCTCTGGAGTGAGGTATAGATGTAAGGAGAGTAATGGTATCCTTAGAAAGGTAAGAGATGGATGGACTTGGTATGGGGACTGTGTCTCTTAAGTGGTTTACCTGATCTGTAGTCACTCTTCATACTCTGAACTGTATGTCTTAACTTGCCATGTGTATAGGAAAGAGTTAACCCAGCAGGTCTGAGTTCTTCAAATCGTGTACATTTTCAGAAGGGTATACTTGCATACTTGCATAATTGGCCCTTGGCTAACTCCTAGAAATGGAGCCTTTGTTATTAATTGATGAGTGTTTTGCATGCCTGGAACCTTGAGCCATATTGTACCAGCTTTTCTAGATCATTTGTACAAAAAGTATGATTATGGTGAGCACCTGCTTTTCTTCTGGAAGACTGAAGATGTGGTGACTGAACCCTTTAAAAAAAAACCTGGCCTCTTAGACTCAAGAGAGCTTTCCTGGTAAAAAGCACTTCATACCTGTTGCTGCAGTTAGTTGCTGGGGGATTGATTGAGGCATGTCCTCTGCAACTCCATTGGGAGAGGGCACTTGGAAGCTGGTGCCAGTATCCTCCAGACTCCACCCAATGCACTTTTTTCCTTTATTACTCCTGCTCTGTATCCTTTCACTATAATAAATCATATCTATGAGTATAACAACTTCTAAGTCCTGTAAGTTCTACTGCATCATCAAACCTGGGAGTAGTCTTGAGGTCGACTGACACACCATCGGTGCCCAGTTTTTGTGAGTTTGGAGTACCTAAGAGGTAGGCAGTCGGCAGTCAACAGAGGAAAGACTCTATTAATCAGAAGGATCATCACGCATTTTTCAAAGCACTTGCAATTTACACAGTTGTTCACAAAAGACTCAAAAACCATAACTGAGCAGGACTATACTTGTAATTGAGGTAATATAAGTGTGATTTTAGATATTAGGAATTATTGAATATATGGCTCATTTTATTCTTTTTAAAGACTTTAGTTGTAACCTTTTCCTAAAAACATATTATCATGGCTTAAGTGATTTTAGAGCTAACAAATACAGTTCACACAATTTTTAAGAAAGGATGAGGGATTTTAGATATGTTAGATATTCTTATTAGATCTTTATAAAAATCACAAGTAGTTAGTATATACTAATCACTTGCCATATGACAGTCACAGTGTTTTTACTTGCATTATTTTGTTTTGTCTTCTCAACCACCCTACAAAACAGGTATCTGATCATTTCATTTCATTGATAAGGAAACAAAGCTTTATAGAGAATAAGTTACTTGCCCAATATCATATTGTCTCATAAATGGTAGAGCCAAAAATAGACTTAAAGCCCAAGGTTTTATCATAGAGTCATATCCTTTACTGACACTGTCTCAAAGCAGATATTACAGATAGTCAGAATTAGCCTTGAAAATTCCTCAAATCACCCAAACAATATAGTATGTTTGTCAGAACGTTCAACCCAGACAGGTTATTCTCTATCCTTGGAACAGATCACCAATTGGTTGAATGTCATATTATTTAAGAGGTACTGTATTATCCTCCTTACCACATCTCAAGCATACATGCATAAGAGAGATATGCAAGACTTGAGTCCAACTAAGGGAATAGTAGATTAATGTCTCCCATCCCAGGGCTCTGGGTAAATGCTCATTGAATGAAATGGCAGACATTTTGAACTAGTTAAATTGTGCCTGCTTCTCATGTGCACACTCTTGTCAATCTCTTGCTGTCTGCCTCACTATTTATTTAACAAATATTTATTGAGTGCTTAATGTATGCCAGGGACTGTTTTACAGAAGTGAACAAAGCAAAGTCTGTGCTCTCTGGAATTTGCATTGTAGTGGAAAAAGTATGTGTATTATGTCTGAATGTATATGTATGCCAGCTGGTGATAAATACCATGGGAAGAAAACATGTGAGGGTTGGGAGTGCCAGGACTTAGGAGGTGAGGAGCCGTTTCTGTTTTATATATTGGGGGGGGGGGTCAAAGAGAGCCTCTCCAGAGAAAATAAGCGGGTTAGCCGTGTGGATATCTGGGAGAGAACATTCCAAGGACAGGGAACAGTAAATAGGCAGTGAGTTGAGCATATATCTAGATGTTCAAGGAGCAGCAAGGCCAGTGTGGCAGGAGCATGGTAAACAAGCGGAGGAAGAGCAGTAGGAAAGGAGATTGTACCAATAGAGTGCAGAGCAGATGATGTAGGGTCTTGTGAGCCAGAGTTAGGATTTTGGTATGCATGGAAAGCCACTGGAGGCTTTAAGCATGTGAGAGATGACTCTGGCAGCTCTGGAGAGAAGAGACTGTTAGGAGGAAAGAGTGGAAACAAGAAGGCAGGAGGCGATTGTCAGAGTCCAGGTGAGTGGCTTGGACTGATATGGTGGCTGAACAGATGAAAAAAGTGGAAAGATTGTTTCTGAAGGTAGAGCTGACAGGTTTTATTTATGGGTTGGTGGATGTGGGGTGAGAGAAAGACAAGAGTTAACGAGTAACCGAGTTCTTTTGTCCTGAGGCACTGCCAAGAATGGTGTTCCCATATATTGAGATATTGGAAAGACTAGGCAAGGAACAGAGTTTTTTTTTTTTCTTTGCGGGGTATATGGGGGGAAATCTAGAGTTCAGTTTTGTCCATGTTGATTTGAAATGCCTATTAAATATCAAGTAGTGATGTCGAGTAGGCAATTGGATGTATACTATTTAAAATCATGAAACTGGATGAGATACAGGTACAGGCAGAGAAAAGACTTCTGGGAACTGTACTCTGGGGAATTTTCTTATCTGTCCTGTGATCTTGCTGTCTGTTTCTTGACTGAGATCTTTTTCCCTCTTTCCTTCGCTCTCTTGAGCACGTATTAGGTGAATCTGTTTACATTGCCTGACCTATGATATGATCAGATGCACCATACTTCTAAAATGGTCTTAAAAATGAAACTAAAACAGTAATATACAAACATATTTCTATATTGCCTTGAAATTTTTTTAAAGATTTTATTTGACAGAGAGTGCACAAGCAGGGGGAGTGGCAGGCAGAGGGAGAGGGAGAAGCAGGCTCCCCGCCGAGCAGGGAGCCCGATGCAGGACTCAATCCCAGGACCCTGGGATTAGGACCTGAGCCAAAGGCAGGCACTTAACCGACTGAGCCACCCAGGCGCCCCTGCTTTGAAATTTTTAAAGAACTTCTATTTATCAAATGCCTGCTGTGCACCAGTAACTGCTAGTTACTTTCGTTTATGTTAACTCATTTGCTTTTCCTAAGTGATTATTTGTGCTTTACATGGAAATAGTGACAGGCCTGTGGAGATAGAGCTTTGGAGAAAACATTCTTTTGCATTTGTATGTTCTAAATTTACATATAAATAAAAAATATATTTTTTAATTAGTGAGAACGTATACATAAAGATTGCAGTTGATAATATATACTAGAAGACCAACTAGCTGTGAGCAAATGACTTAGATCTCTCTTGGGCCCTAATTCCCATTGATAAAATAATAATAGGCCTGAGTTTGAGAAGGGACCTAGTCAAGGGGTTCTCTGACAGTAGATTGGGATCAGTTGTTCTGATTTGTACTTCTACACCCATGCTGTCCAATATCACACCCACTAGCCACCTGTGTCTATTTAAATCTAAATTAATTAAATTTGTTTGGCTGTAGGAATTTCAGTTGTTTATGAAACAAATAGAAATTTTAAAAGCTAAAAATAACTTGGTCTTTTCTAGGACTAAAAATTAACTCATTTTCATGGCATCATGTGCTTGAATGCTTTATACTTCAAATTTATAATTAAAAAAGCATTCACACTACAAAGGTATAGGACTTGTCACATTTTAAACTAACTGATATAATTTTCATTTTGATTGCCTATATGGTAACAAATACTTTTTTTTTAAGATTTTTTTTTTTTTAGGTAATCTCTACACCTGATGTGGGACTCCAACTTAAAAACCTGAGATCAAGAGTTACTGTATGCTCTACCGACTGAGCCACCCAGGCGCCCCACAAATACTTTTGAAACTCAAATACTAATGCAAGCAATGTTTTTAAAAATGAAATAATATTTTGGCATTATTTATGATGGGATATGGTAAAATACTGGTTTTTAAAAATTATTTAGCAATTACAATTAAGAGCAACTTCAGGTCCCAGGATTCGTAGTGGTAGAAGTTATTATTTCTGATAGTATTTTTAATGTTTTTTGTAAACAGAAAAAAGGAGTTCATCGTTGTACAAAATGCAGACTGCAATTTTTGACCTGCAAAGAGAAACTGGATCACAAGACCCAGCATCGGACCTTTATAAAGCCTAAAGAGCTAGAAGGATTGCCTCCTGGTACAAAAGTGAGTTTTAAATATGTTGTATTTTAACATTTCGTGTGGTAGTAGAAATAAATTCCTGCCTGGCTTTATCTGTAATATTAAAAATTAACTTCTGCTTGTCATTAAGATTTAATTTTAGGTTTTGTCATTCTTTTTTAAAGATTTTATTTATTTATTTGTCAGAGAGAGAGCCCAAACAGGGGGAGCGGCAGGCAGAGGGACAAGCAGGTTCCCCACTGAGCAAAGAACCTGATATGGGACTTGATCCCAGGACCCTGGGATCATGACCCAAGCAGAAGGCAGACACAACCAACTGAGCCAGCCAGGCGTCCCTTAGGTTTTGTTATTCTTATGTTTGGAAAGAAAAACTAATATCCATTTTTTTTAAGTTAATTGATACATGCTATATTGGAGCATATTCCTTTGTAGTGAGTGCAACTAGATTAACTGTCAACTGAGTCAGTGAGTTGTTTCAATACTCTGTAGGCTGTTCGTGAGCTTTTGCAGCATATGTGTCTGCTTCAGCTGCTAGACTATAAGGTCAAGAATCATGTTTAGTTTATCTTTGTGTCCCTAGCATCTATCATAGTGCCTTGAATGCCATACTTTGTTGAAGTTGGTATTACTGAGTCTACTCTCAGTTCCTTATATATTCTGTATACAAGTCCCTTATTAGAAATATGACTTGCGGGATGTCTGGGTGGCTCGGTTGGTTAAGTGCCTGCCTTCAGCTGGTCATGATCCCAGGATCTCAGCGTCCTGGGATCGAGTCCTGCATCCAGCTCCTTGCTCAGTGGGGAGCCTGCTTCTCCCTCTGCCTGCTGCCCATCCTGCTTGTGCGCTCTCTCACGTGCTTGCTCTCTCTCTTTCTCTCTGACAAATAAATAAAATATTTTTTAAAAAAAGAAATATGATTTGCAAATACTTTCTCTCATTCTGTGGATTGTCTTGTCACTTTCTTAACAAGTGTCCTTTGAAACACAAGAGTCTAAAATTTTTATGAAGTCCATTTAATCTATTTTTTTCTTTAAGAGTTTTGTAGTTTTAGGGCGCCTGGGTGGCTCAGTTGGTTAAGCGACTGCCTTCGGCTCAGGTCATGATCCAGGAGTCCCTGGATCGAGTCCCGCATCGGGCTCCCTGCTCGGCAGGGAGTCTGCTTCTCCCTCTGACCCTCCCCCCCCCTCATGTGCTTTCTCTCTCTCTCATTCTCTCTCTCTCAAATAAATAAATAAAATCTTTAAAAAAAAAAAGAGTTTTGTAGTTTTAGCTCTTATAATTTGATCCTTGATACATTTTGAGTTAATTTTTGTATCTAGTATGAGGTAGGGGTCCAAATTCATTCTTTTGCATGTAGATATCCAGTTGTGCTATAGCATCATTTGTTTGAAAAGACTATTGTTTCCTCCACTGAGTTGTTTTGGTATCCTTGTCAAAAACCAATGGACTATAATGTTAAGGCATGCAGTGAACTTTTTAATATTAATGCAATGATTAATTTTCTAAAATATGTATATATTTTGCCTTCATTTTTATAGGTTACTATTCGAGCCTCAATTGGACCGCTTCATTCAAAACCGGTTACATCATCTCCCAGTAGTAGTGTTCCAAGCACTTCTTCTTTTCAGCTCTCACCTGTGAAGTCTAAAAGTACAACTGCTAAAAATTCCACAAAATCTAATACAAGTAAATCTAAGACAAGTAAACTTCAGGCAGCTAAACCTAATACCAGTAAGCGAGGTAGAGGTGCATCTAAATGCAAGACTAAAACCTCTTACAAGCAAAAGAAACAGCGCAACAGAAAGAATAAAATCAGCATAGCTTTGAAGAACTTAAGGTAATATCTTTTATTCCAGATATATAATACTAATTGAATATTAAAGGTTTATTTTAATATAATTTACCATATACAAAGGTCCCTTGCACGGTTACATGCTGATCACTTGTCTGGCATAAAGGCTAAGCAGATAAAAAAAAAGGTACTCTTTACAACTGCCAAGCAGAACTGGAATTAGTGTTCATTGTATAATTATCATCAATTACACTAATCTATTTTGTGCTTATATCTTGTGATAGTTGAATTGATTAATGTGATCCTTTTTATTCCAGGGAAACATTAACTGGTGTTTGATTTTTGACACTTTATTCTAGCTTATTGTTTCAAATCAAATTTTCAAATTATGTCTCTACTTAAAGATGTTAATTTAAACATTTTAGCTTCAGTTAATAAAACGTGAATGAGGCTTTACCTTATTATTTTTGTTTCATGATATATTTTCATCTTTTTTTTTCTGTCTCTACAAGGTGTCGTCGGGGAGTTCACAAGTGCATTGAGTGTCATTCCAAAATAAAAGATTTTGCAAGCCACTTTTCAATATATATCCACTGTAATTTTTGCAAATACAACACTAACTGTAACAAGGCCTTTATAAATCATATGGTGAGGTAAGTTAAACATGTACACCACCAATCAAAATTCCCATTTAAGATGTTTGTTTTTTAAAAATAAAGTTGTCCTAATAGTTGTCACATCAAGGAGCTAAAAGGATTGAGCAATAGGGAACTTCTAGGATATTACTTAATATTATTTTCCAACATAATAAATCATGAAATTAGGGGGACAGAAATTTTTAAGAACAGTTAGACCAATGAAATTAGAATAGGTTTGTTTGGGAAATTTGTTTTTCTAAGTCTTTTAAAAAGTGGTTATTCTCAAACATAAAAATTTTTAATGTTTTCAAAATATTTATCACATAAATACATGTAACTCCATGAGTGTTATCCTCTTCAAAGCAGTCACTTTGAGAGACTTCAGGTTTGTCAAAGATGCTAAGAATTTCTCCCCCCCTTCTCCCCCTTCTTTTCATCCATCTTTCTGCCCATTAGTCATTCAAGCCATTTATCTTTGCATTCAACAATGAAATGTGAAATGAGAGACTATAGGGATATTCTAGTCATGATGCTACTGTTAGAATTCCTTTTCACACGTCAATTCAATTTATCTTATTTGAGCGCCTACCGTGTACTCTATGCTAGAGAAAGACGTCAGAGACCACATTACTTCATTTGGACCTCATTTGTAGAAGCTTACTTTATTCTTTCAGGAAGGATTTTTTTAAATACATAAAAATTGTTCAGATATAAATATGCTAAGTTGATTATTCAAACTGAGGTAGTTCCATTTATTTTCAGTCAGAAATAAGATATAACTAATAAAAGTGGTTTTCGTGCAGAGCATAACAAGACCCTCTGTTATATGTTGTACCCCCTTCCTTACCAGTGTCCCAACTTAGCTCATCATATACAGTATTCATTTTGAATTCTCATTACCTCATGATTTTTGGAGTCTTGACCCTTCTTTCCAGTCCAGCTGCACCAATCTGACTTCCTATCAGCCTGACCCTTAAGGTCATCTGTTTTGAAAGTTGCTTGCTTCTTATCCTAGAATCTTTTTTAACCTTCAGACATGTTAAACCTTGCTATCCGTGAATCTCTTATCCTTTTCGATCTTTTGCTGTGCTCCTTTCCAAACTACCAAACTGCACTTGATTTAATTAGCTCTGAATTTGTGATTTTTAACTTTAATTTCGTTCTGTTTTTAAAAATATCTCTTTGTTGAGGGCACGTTCTGCATGGAGCGCTGGGTGTTACGCACAAACAATGAATCCTGGAACACTACATCCAAAACTAATGATGTAATGTATGGTGATTACAGATGCAAAAAAAAAAAAAATATCTCTTTGGTTTTTTTATCTACAACATCTGTTTAAATCCTTTTCGGTACCCTCAAGATTTTATTCTAGTCTCTTTGTTGTTAGTCTTGTTCTTACTAATTACTCAGAGGTCATCCTTCTCATTTTTCCCAAGATTAACTTTTTTCTACCTCAGGTTTTTCTCCCTTTATCCAGACATAAATCTCAGAAAAAGACATTCTCACTTTTTGAAAGCAAATACTGCCCCTCATCTCTTCCATTTTCCCCACAACCTTATTCAGTTATTTTGTGTCTTCATTTCATCTCTTTTTCTCTACCACATTCCTTCTGCCTGCACATATTTTCAGGCTTTTTTTTTTAGGATGAAGGAGATTTGCCTTCACTTTGCATATTTTTTTGTCTTCCTTTTACTGTCAACATTTTAAAGAGTTTCTTTACTACCTATTTGCCACTTCTTTACCCTTTGTAATTTGAGTATCACCCCCACCTATTAGTTAAAGCTGCCCCTTTAAAAATTATCAGTCATATCCTAATCACTAAATGTACTAATTTCCATTCTTACTTTTCTGTGACTTCTTTAGAATATTTGACGCTTTTGATCACTCACTTTTGAAAATCTTCTCAACTTCTCTTAATATGTTACCATAATGTTTTTCTTCCCTTTGGGCTACTCCTCTATTTCATTACCTTTTCTTTTTTTGCCTCAGACTTTTTTTTACTTTTTAAGTTTTTCATTTTAATTCCTGTATAGTTAACATACAGTGTTATATTAGTTTCAGGTGTACAGTATAGTGATTCAACAGTTCCATACATTACTCAGTGCGCATCATGATAAGTGTGCTCTTCTTATTCCCCATCACCTATACCACCCTTCCCCCCACCCACCTCTCTTCTGGTAACCATCAGTTTGTTCTCTGTAGTTAAGAGTCTGTTTCTTGGTTTTGTCTCTTTTTTTCCTTTGCTCATTTGCTTTTTTCTTAAATTCCACATATGAGTGAGATCATATGGTGTTTGTCTTTCTCTGACTTATTTCGCCTGGCATTATACTCTCTAGCTCCATCCACATCATTGCAAATGGCAAGATTTCTTTCTTTTTATGGCTGAATAATATTCCATTGTGTGTGTGTGTGTGAGACACACACACATCTTTATCCATTCATCTGTCAGTGGACACTTGGGCTGCTTGTACAGTTTGGCTATTATAAATAATGCTGCAATAACACAGCAGTGCATGTATCCCTTTGAATTAGTGTTTTGCATTTTTTGGGCAGAAACCCAGTAGCGCAGTTACTGGATCCTAGGGTAGTTCAATTTTTAACTTTTGAGGAGCCTCCATACTGTTTTCCACAGTGGCTGCACCAGTTTGCATCCCACCGACAGTGCATGAGGGTTCCTTTTTCTACACAATCTTGCCAACACTTGTTGTTTCTTGTGTTTTTGATCTTAGCCATTCTGACAGGTATGAGGTGATATCTCATTGCAGTTTTGATTTGCATTTCCCTGATAATGAGTGATGTTGAGCATCTTTTCATGTGTCTGTTAGCCATCTGGATGTCTTCTTTGGAGAAATGTCTGTTCATGTCTTCTACCCATTTTTTAATTGGATTATTTGGTTTTTGGGTGTTGAGTTGTATCAGTTCTTTATATATTTTGGATACTAACCCTTTATTTGATACGTCATTTGCAAATATCTTCTCCCATTCAGTAGGTTGCCTTTATTTCCTTACCTTTTCTTTTTTTCAACTCTTCTTGCCTCCTTACATTCCTTTTCTTGGTTCCTTAATCACTCAGAATTTTGTCTTACCTTTCAACTGTAAATCCTCCACTTTCAATGCTGAGTTTTCCTGAGATCCATCTCTTCATCAGTTTGATAGATATTTTCATCTTTGACCCACTAGCATCTATAAAGAACAAAAATAAGTCAAACATCACTGTCTGGGATCCAAACTACCATCACCCCAATACTCTTTAAGCTCAGTTTGTCTCAAAGTGTCATTTGCGGAAATGTGGAGCATCAACTGAAAATAATACACTTTAAGTTTCTGAAGCCTATGGTGCTCTCTTGATCTGCCACCATTCATAATGGCTTCCTGAATGTCCACCTTCTGCACTTTACCAGTCTGCCTCCCAACTACTGCAGGGATTTCTATACCTCGGTTGCTCTAAACCAGGCCCCAGCAAATCTTTCTCTCAGTATACTGCTGGGAAGAATGCTGGTATTTTGTTAATTTAAGTATAATTAACATACAGTTATATTAGTTTCAGGAGTACAATATAATGATTCAACAATTCTATACATTGCTCAGTGCTCATCAAGATAACTGTACTCTTTTTTTAAGATTTTATTTACTTATTTGAGAGAGAGCACAAGCGGGGCAGGGGAGAGGGAGAGGAAGAAGCAAACATAACATTTGCAAATTTCTTCTCCCATTTAGTAAGATGCCTTTTTGTTTTGCTAATGGTTTCCTCTGCTGTGCAAGGGCTTTTTATTTTGAGGGCCCCTAGGTGGCTCAGTCAGTCAGGCTTCTGACTCTTACTCTCAGCTCAGGTCTTGATCTCAGGGTCAAGTGAGTTCAGGCCCTGTGTTGGGTTCCACACTGGGCATGGAGCTTACTTTACAAAAAAAAAAAAAAAAAAAAAAAGCTTTTTATTTTGGTGTAGCCCCAATAGTTTAAATTTGCTTTTGTTTCCCTTACCTGAGGAGACATATCTAGAAAAATGTTTCTACAGCTGATGTCAAAGAAATTACTGCCTATGTTTTCTTCTAGGAGCTTTATGGCTTCAGGTCTCACATTAGGTCGTTAATCCATTTTGAGTTTATTTTTGTGTACGGTGTAGGAAAGTGGTCCAGTTTCATTCTTTTGCATATAGCTGTCCAATTTTTGTAGCACCATTTGTCAAAGATACTGTCTTTTCCCCCATTGTATATTCTTGCCTCCTTTGTCATAGATTAATTGACCATGTTAAGTGCGGGTTTATTTCTGGGCTCTCTATTCTGTTTCACTGATCTATGTGTGTGTTTTTGTGCCAGTCCCAGACTGTGGTGATCACTACAGCTTTCTAGTATATCTTGAAATCTGGAATTGTGATACCTCGAGCTTTTCAAGATTGCTTTGGCTATTTGATGTCTTTTGCGGTTCCATACAAACTTTAGGATTATTTTTTCCAGTTATGTGAAAAATGTTGTTGGTATTTTGATAGCAATTATGAATGCTGGTCTCTTATTCTGTGCCAAACACATGGCTGCCCCAATGGAGCTTTAATTCTGCCCCTAATTTATAGGAGATTAAATTGGAAAATATTTTTAGTGTTTCTTAAACCCATGGTCATTCTGTCCTCCTGCCTCCTATTTTCCATAGGTCCTTCAGCTGTCTTCTAGGACCTCCAATACCATTCTATCCCAAAATATTCCCTTTTGGCCCCAGGCTTCCTTTATAACCGTTTCCTAATTTCCAGTGAGCCCCAACCTTGCACTGCATTGTTATCACACACATGGAGCACTTACTCATTACTAGCCTCATAAAGAACTGAAAGTATCCACTTCTGCTTTTCTAAGGGCCTTTGCATTTCTCCTAATTCAGTGGTGTTTTGCTTCCTTTGTTGCCTCAGGTACCTCCCCCTGAATGGTACACCCTGACCCAGTGTGGACTTTTGTCATAGACTTGAGCTCTGTACCTACAGAGTCTCATTTTCTTAGAGGTTGAGTACCTTTATTCCCAGCCCACACCAACTCTGTAACAAGTCAGGTCCCCCAAATTAATCTTCCCCAACATATAGTTTGTTTCATATTCAATATCTAAAGTGGTTTTCCATATTCTTTGTTATTCCTTGGACTGCCCCTCTTCTTCCCTCTCAGTTTACCTTCTTCTGTGAAGAATATGATCACCACAGCCACTCATAGGAATCATTCCTTCCTGGGGCACCTGGGTGGCTCAGTTGGTTAAGCGACTGCCTTCAGCTCAGGTCATGATCCTGGAGTCCCTGGATCAAGTCCCGCATCGGGCTCCCTGCTCAGCAGGGAGTCTGCTTCTCCCTCTGACCCTCTTCCCTCTCGTGCTCTCTATCTCTCATTCTCTCTCTCTCAAATAAATAAAAAAAAATCAAAAAAAAAAAAAGGAATCATTCCTTCCTTTGAGTTCTGTACCATTCAGCTATTCTGCCTCATATTAAATATGTGTCTTATCTACTTGAGAGAGCAGTTCTTTGTATTCAGCACGGCACCTATTCTGCAGCTATTTTCATGGGGTTATAGCTAGCCAGAATCGTTTTTTTTTTCCCATGTGTACATGGTATGCTGGTGATAGTTACCTTTTGTCTAGTGATAATCATTGACCTGGTGTGTTGGCTGGTTTGGGTCTGTCAGTGCAAGCTTGGGCAGCTAGTGTTTCTCAAACTTTAGCTTGCATAAGAATTCACCTGAAAAGGGGCACCTGGGTGGCTCAGTCGGTTAAGTGGCTGCCTTCAGCTCAGCGCATGATCCCAGGGTCCTGGGATCGAGCCCCGCATCGGGTTCCCTGCTCAGCGGGAAGCCTGCTTTTCCCTCTCCCTCTGCTACTCCCCCTGCTTGTGCTCTCTCTCTGTCAAATAAATAAGTAAAATCTAAAAAAAAAAAAAAAAAAAAGAATCACCTGAAAAACTTGTTGAAACTGGTTTCTGGGTCTCACTGCCAGCAATTAATTCAGCAGGTCTAGAGTGGGGCCTGAGACTTTGTATTTCTGTTGAGTTCCCAGGTGATATGGATGCTGCTGGTCCATGAACCACACTTTGAGTAATACTGTGCTATGCTAGTCCTGGCTAATCCCACCTGACTTTCTAATTCAGGAAAGCTTTCCTTATCAGTTTAAAAGGGGGTATAGGGATGCCTGGGTGGCTCAGTAAGTTAAGTGGTCGACTCTTGATTTTGGCTTAGGTCATGATCTCAGGATCCTGGGATCAAACCCCGTGCCAAGGCTCCACACTCAGCCGGGAATCTGCTTGAGAATCCTCTCTCCCTCTCCCTCTACTCCTCCCCCTGCTCACGCGCTCTCTCTCTAAAATAAATAAATCTTTTAGAAATAAAAATAAAAGGGGGTATAAAAGCTAATGCCATTGGCTGCAAAACTTGGTGGTTTTTTTTTGTTCTGTGCATAAAAGAAATATTGTTTTAACTCATGAGCTCTGCTTTGCTTTCCCTAAAGGCTCTCCTAATAATTGCAAAAGATTCTTTAAATGTTTCGTTTTACTGATGGCAGGTAAAGGTAATGTAATTTAGCCCAAGTAGCATTTACTTCAAGGATCATTCAGATTCTCCCCACTTGCTAAGTATATTAAGAAAGTGATAATTATTATTCATAACAATTTATATTATAGCAAAATACATTATTAACAAATACCTTTTAAATTGTTTTCAACTCTTCATTGTAAAAATGTAAATTGATGCTCTTTACATTTTTAACTTTGAGAGGTTTGTTTTTTATAATGGTGAGGGTACTGATCATTTAAGAATATTCTCAGGGAAATATGTTGTTAGAAAATACACAGGTAAAATGAAATGTAAGATAAAAAACGAATTAAAGCAGAAGAATAGAATTTAATAATTTAGGTCATGATCTTTTCTTCAAAACTAAGGAACTAAACATGGACTTTGAAATATGGTCATAAAATTAATATGACTTTATTGTATAATAAAATCTCACTTGTCTGTTGTCTCTCCAGCTCTCATAGCGACCATCCGAGTAAACGGTTTTATATTTTTAAGAAGCATTCTGGAACTCTCAGGTAACTAGTTGATCTTTTTCCATTCTCTCTTTTGAAAAATTGTAGTAACTTTTTTTAACCTGATGTTTAAGTACCTAGTTTGGAAAATGAATGATTGCTACCAGACATAATAAGACAGTTCTATTCATTATATCATAGATCGAAGAGGAAATAGCTATGTTTTCAAGCTAAACTTTGTTGCAGTGGTGTTAGGCATTCAGATGAAATTTTCATGGATTTGCATTATAAAATAAAAAATAAGGCTCTCCAACAATATTTGAAGGTTAAAAAGATGTTTAAGATATCTACTAAATTGAATAACACTGGTTTTGATCAACATATAGCCTTCACAATTCTTAGGGGTTTTTTAAGTTTTGAAATAAAGAAAAGTACACAACCTATTTACAAAAGGAATTGCTGAAGAACATTTCTAAAGGCACTGATAATTAACTTTGATTATACCACACACCCTTAGCTCAGAATCCACTAAGCATCATTTTTTGCCACGTTCTTCTGATTTCTTTTGACTTCATATTCCTTTGTTTAATTATTTTGCTCATGTTGTCATTGCTATTTGAAATTACAGTGCCAAGATCTTGGTAGCACCAGGCTAAGACAAAGACAAGTTTAGCCAGTACTTATTTTGATGCTTTCGCTTAGTGGGAAAGTGGAGGAGGGGATGATAGATCTCAGGATCTTTGTATTTATTATTCTTTCTGCTTGTTGACTCTTCCCTAGATATCTGCAGGGCTAGCTCCCTCACCCCCTTCAAGTCTCTAGTCCAATGAGTGAGGCTTTCTTTGACCGCTCCATTTAAAATAGTATTCTTTCCCCTGGGCTCCATTCCCACCACCCCCTATCCCCCTTTATTGTTTTATTTTTCTTCACTTTTTACTTTCCAATATGTTGCATACTTCACTCTTTTGTTAATTATCTGTGTCTTCTCACTAGAATGTGTATGGTTTGGATATTTGTCTATGTCAGATGCTTACTAAGCATTGAATAGTGCCTGACACATGGTACACATTCTGTAAATATTTTGAGTAAATTAGTGTATATGTTGAAAATGACATATGTGGATGATGGACCAACAGCTCATAGGCAGAGGAAAGTTTGATTCTACTGCAAAAATATATTCGTGCTACTTTTAAAATATTACTAAATTCAAGGAAGTAGAATTTTACTGAAAAATTTTGTAAGAATGAAAAGGGATTTATTAAGTCTAAAGATTAGAGAGTTTAATTTTATTTACCTCACTATTGTCAAGCTTAGCTGTGTGCTTGATTCTTGAATTCATTCTGTGACTTTAAAGATCTGAGATGCTTTTTTCTTAACTTGGATGGGCCTCAGATTTAAATAGAAAGTTGATAAATTTCTGTGTATGGGACTTAGCATATTTATAATTCTATAAAACAGTAAGTTTGTAATTACTGTTTTGTTACAATGCAATGTTCATTTTTTATTTATTGTGCACCTATTATGTATAACACAACGTAGCAGTTCCTATTAAGTTGACAATGATGAAGAAGGCTTGGTACCAACCTTCAAGGAATGTACAATTTATGATAAGGTGCGAATATAAGTAACTACAGTAATACAGGAAGGTTCGTAATAAGTGCCGTGAGAGTTACTGATTTCAAAGGGAGGAGAGACTTCCACTTAGAAGAAACACAAGGGCATTCTAGTTGGAAGAAATAGTATAAATAAAAGTACAGAAAGGAAAGAGCAGAAGGCCTACACAATGAATGACTAGTAGTGCAATTTAGATGAAGCATGAAGTTTATATAACATAGTATTAAGATCAAAGTCTGGGGGAATAGTTTTGAGCTCAGATCTAGATTATGAAATCCTTGAAAACTAGGCTAGGGAGTTTGGACCCATTGGGGAAACTGTTGGTGTTCTGTGTAGAATTAAGGAAGATCAACGTGGAGGGCATATGAGGTAAGATGTAGCTGCGTGGGACACATAGACTGTTTAAGATTATTATGGTAGTTAAGTCTGATTTAATAAGAATCTGGGTTAAGGTGGTGAACTGGTATCACACTGTTTAAGAACATGGACTCTGGAATCAAAGGGCTCATTTTCTTTTTTTTAATTTTTTTTTAAAGATTTTATTTATTTATTAGAGAGAGAGACAGCGAGAGAGGGAACACAAGCAGGGGGAGTGGGAGAGGGAGAAGCAGGCTTCCCGCTGAGCAGGGAGCCCGATGCGGGGCTCGATCCCAGGACCCTGGCATCATGACCCAAGCCGAAGGCAGACACTTAACGACTAAGCCACCCAGGTGCCCCAAAGGGCTCATTTTCAATCTAATTTTGGCCTTGGTAGGTTAGTAAACCTGACCTTGTCCTTTATAAAAAAGTAAAAATTTTAGCACCTACCTCTTTGGTTTGTTACAGGATTTAGATGAGATAATATGTCTAAAACCCTCAGCCTGGCACAAAGTTAAGTGCTCAATAAATTGTTAATATTATAAAATATTTGAAATATTGGCTGTTCTAAGAACAAAGAGAGTCAAATAATTTTGAGCCTTTGTGTTGGGAGCATGACATCATAAGAAAGATTAGTTAGGAGGAATGGTTTTCAGGGGTGGGGACGGAAGTACAATTTCAGTTTATAAAGATCATTTTTGATGTGCCAGCATATGACAGCCAGGTATAAATATACAGCGGGCTATTAAGACTAGAGCTACAATAGGAGCACCTGGGTGGCTCGGTCAGTTAAGCGTCCGACTCTTGGTTTCAGCTTAGGTCATGATTTCATGGGTCATGGGATCAAGCCCCCCTCTGGCAGGTGGGCCCTGTGCTCAGTGGCAGAGTCGATTTGAAAGATTCTCTCCCTGTACCCTTCCCCCTACTCTCTCTCAAAATAAGTAAATCTAAAAAAAAAAAAAAAAAAAAACTAAAGCCACAGGGGAGAAGTCAATCTAAAGTATGCTACTGGTTTTTATTCCTATACAAGTGAAGTACTTAAAGTATTCAGTGAACTGTAAAGGTATGTTTATGCTTGTTAACTGACAGATAATAACAATAATTAAATTACATGATTTATTTTTAAAACTTTCCCATTTCTTTTCTAATTTTATCACCACTAAAATAAGATACTAGATTATAGGCTCCACAGAGTTTACCCTCTTTTTTTGTTCACTCTTGTATCCACAACACCTAGTAGTATGGAGTGTGTAAAGAAGGTCCTCAGAAAATGTATATTGAGGGGCGTCTGGGTGGCTCAGTTGATTAAGCGTCTGCCTTCGGCTCAGGTCATGATCCCAGTGTTCTGGGATCGAGCCCCACATCGGGCTCCCTGCGCAGCGGGGAACCTGCTTTTCTCTCTCCCTCTACTGCTCCCCCTGCTTGTTCTCTCCCTCGCTCTCACTCTCTCTCTGTCAAATAAAAATCTTTAAAAAAAAGAAAAGCAAATGTATATTGAACGAGTATTATATCCTTGTTTTCCAGATGGGCGAAGGTACAGAAAGGATGTGACTTGCACAAGCTATACAAATTGTTAGTGGAGCCACCACTGGGTTTTAGGTCTCTTAACTCCTGTCTTTTAGCAACCAATATGAGAGGGAACAGTTTACAAAGCACTGAATGTTAGCATAACTTAAACATGGCTCTATCATTTTCTAGAGTACCGTTTCAGATAAATCAGGCTTGTATAACAAAATTGGAAACTGATGGTCATGACACATAAAAAGCACATCAAGAGTTGTTACATGGAAAAATAATTATTGAACTATATGGACTTTCATAAAAGATTGAAAAGATTAAAAACCTTTGCTTTCTTTTTTTCTTCATAGGGGCATTACTCTCGTGTGCCTTAAATGTGACTTCCTAACTGATTCTTCTGGTTTAGACCGTATGGCTAAACACTTGTGTCAACGTAAAACTCATACTTGCCAAGTTATAATAGAGAATGGTATGTATATATAATTGTGTTACTTTGAATTTCTGATATTTATTCCAGTATTTTTGATCAGCCACAATATGGGCTCTTCTGTATTAAGTTAATAGTCTCACTCATTATCTATACTATTTTAAACGTAAAACTCTTCTAATTTCAGTTTCCAAAAGTACCTCAACTTCTGAACCTGATTCTGAACCCACTTCTGAGTAAGTTTTATTTTCATTTAATGCACTTTTCTTTGATGGATTTTAGCACTGTTGCATTTTTAAATGTATCATTAATAGAAATGAAAAATATTAAAGTATTTTGTTTTTGTTTTTGTTTTTAAAGCCGCTTGTTGAAATAGATTCCTGCTCTATGGAGCTCGTGCAACCTGGTGCAAGACAAGTTGGAATTTCCTAAGTTCAAAGTTCTGAAGTGTTTTCTTATACAAAGGCAGTTTCCTAAGTTCAAACTTCTGAAGTATTTTCTCACACGAAGGCGGTTAAACAGCCAAGTTCATGACACTAGCTCTGATTCAGCTCTTTTCAGCTTTCAGATGGCACTAGATTCTTATTCCACCTTATCTTTGTGTCAGGTTAACATATCTTAACATATGCTTTTTTCTCCAGTTGGCTCTCTCCAAAAATAACTTTTGTTGCTATGGTCTTTTTTTGCTTTGCTTAAAATAATTTGTGTTTTTCTCTGCTGTACTTCCCTTCAGAATATTGCATTCCAAATGATATGGCTATTCATTTTCTTTGTCTGTTTTGTCTGGTTTCGTAGTTAATTTCTTATGAGTCTTACATTTTTAGGTCAGATAGCTGTCTTTTTCCTCTTTCCTTGTCTGTCATTGTTCTATTTTTCATATTTTTCAGATGCAGAAGCAACACAGAAATTTCAAAAAATGTCCAGGATACTCCTGGTCAGTGTCCCCCTTCGATGGACACAACTGATGCCTGTTCTCTCTTTCCAAGGAATGTGAATTATTTGACTGTGAGACCTCCTCTAGATTGCGGCCTTAAGAAATCAGACCTTGGGGAGAGTCCCTTCCTTCATGACTGGCCTCCCATAAGGCTGATGCTAATTTGGCCAGAGATGACCTCAAGGCCCACCAAATTGAGCACAACTTCCCACTGGGGGCTTTGGTTTTTGATCTTATGCTTATTGGGTTCATTCTAACCAAGAAAGACCCATCAAATCATTGCTTCAACATCCAAGTTGAAGTTTAATCATTTTGGCTGCTGCCCTTTAATCTTTGTCTAGTTTGCATGCAGTCCAAGGAATATAAAAACTGGTTGTGTAGGGAACCAAGGTTACTTTCATGTTCTTGGAAAACAAGTTTCTAAAATTACAGTTCCAAAATTATAGCTATTTGTACTGTCATTTGAAGTTTTATCCAGTATTAACCCTAGGAGTTTTCAGCAATACTAATATTCAAATTTTTTAAGTTTAATTTTATCTTGGTTTTATGTTGTCCTTCACCAAATTTATTAATGTGTGTTTTGTTATGTCCACTTTTATCTCTTCTCTTTAAAACTTTCGTTTTGTGTTTGTTTTGTTTTGTTAAGAACCTCAAGAAATTCTTTAGAATTCTCTACAAATTTCATGTAGCTACCTATTGATGGCTTCTAGATTTGCTAATTATTCAGACCATTAGACATTATTACATCCTCTGTCTCTCTTGGGACTATCATTATCTTAGTGATGATCATTTCAAAGACATAAATAATTGGCAAAAAAACACTTCCTACAGACCTTAAAACAAATTTTAAAGCTATGTTTCTGTACATCTAATACATAATATCTTCTTAGCCATTAATGTAATTCCTTTGGATAAAGATAATATATTCAGAAAATATTGGGACCAAAAAATGCACTTGTTTCTTGCCCATATATATATAGATGTATATTTTTTTTATTTTGGTGTTTGTTTATTTTGGTTACATTGAATATAGATTTGCTGAACAGTTTGATGTTATTACTTATTTTTTTAATAAAATTTGTATTGGTAAAGTGCCTCAGGAGTTACTCATGTAAAAGCTGCAGATTTTATCATGTAAGTAGGAGCATTGCTTTGCTTCTTACATGGAAGCTTGATTGCTTGGCCTACAGACTGAGAGCTTTACTGAGTGCATCTTACAGTCTTTCCTCCAGCACAGTTAAAAGCTCACTATGTATATTTTACTGATTTCTTGGACTTTAGAGACTGGCAAAAGTCCCTTGCGACCTTTAATAACCATTAAGGTGGTCAGGCTCTGAAGTTGTTTGACTCAGTCATGAGTGGTTTTTTTATCTTAACATCAGAACTTATTGTGCTTGGTACTCATAATTGTACTTTGCAATGGTCTTAGTGCCTTTGGGCTGCTATATAGTAGAGTATCACAGACTAGGTATCTTACGAACAACAGAAATGTATTTCTCACAGTTCTGGAGGCTGGAAAGTCCGTGATCAAGGCACTGGCAGATTTAGTGTCTGGTGAGGACCCACTTCCTGGTTCGTAGAAGGATATTGCTGTATCCTCCTGGCAGAAGGGGTGAGAGAGTTTTCTGGGGTCTAATTTATGAGGGTACTAATCCCATGCATGAGGGCTCCACCCTCTTGATGCAGTCATCTCCCAAAGGCCATACTTCCTAATACCATCACGTTAGGGATTAGGTTTCAACATACGAATTCAAACATTAAGCCTATAGCAGAAACATATTGAAAACCAGTTTCAGTGACCACTTCTTACTACTTCTTATAATTCATAGTCAAAAAAGTTGAATCCAGGGCGCCTGGGTGGCTCAGTTGGTTAAGCGACTGCCTTCGGCTCAGGTCATGATCCTGGAGTCCCGGGATCGAGTCCCACATCGGGCTCCCTGCTCGGCAGGGAGTCTGCTTCTCCCTCTGACCCTCTTCCCTCTCGTGCTCTCTATCTCTCATTCTCTCTCTCTCAAATAAATAAAATCTTAAAAAAAAGTTGAATCCATTAGTTTTAATTTTCCAGACTGATTTCTGCTGTAAATGATTTTTCCAAAATCTCCAAAAGTGTTGTTTCTTAGTAGTGTTTCTACTCCTACTTGTTTCTTAATAGTAGACTTGGCAATGTTCGAGTCTTTATTTCCGTATAGTCCCCAGAATGTTTCTTCATCCACCATCTTTCTATCCGTTTTTTTTTTACTTTTCAAAAATTGTAATGAAAATATATAACATAGATTTTGCCATCTTAACCATTTTCAAGTGAAAAATCCAGTACTAATTACACCAAGTTTTAAACTTTTGTCCAGATATAAATTCTTTGTGGTTTCCAAATAGATTCTCTTTTTGTATGCAGATATTTTCCCTAGCTCTGTTAGTTTGAGGATATGATAAACTACATTGATGTTATAGCAATACTTTAGGTAGGGGTACGTCTTTTTGTTCTTCCATAGGGTTCTATTTCTAACAGCATGTATTAGGTTCATCTTCTTAAAGTATAATACTCTTAAAGTTCTGTGTCCTGTAGCACCATTTTTTTTTTACTTTCTTTAAAACATTTCAAACAGTAAATACTAAGCTTGCTTATTATAGGCAGTTAGTTGAGTTTTAATTGGGGCAAATGAGGTTTAGCTTGACATTTTGGTCCCATTACCCTCAGGCTTGTTCTAAATAATTCTTTCACTCGATTCAGAAATAGCCGTCTCTTGCATGTGTGCTTTTTAAAAGGTTACAGCTGAATAAAAGTTGTGATTGGCTCAGTTTCAATCCATCACCATTCTTAGAAAAATAGCCTCTGAACTACAGAGACAGTTTCTTGCTCCTTTTTGTCACACTTTGCCAAAACATCTCTTTGGGCCTCACTTACTTGTTCAGCAAATGCTTATTGAGCACCTACTATGTGCTTAACACTATTCTAGGTGCTGGAAAAAACAGACTGAAATCTTTTCCCTGGTGGAGCTTACATTTCAATGGTTGAAGACAAGACAATAAAAATTAAGAAAATTAAGTAGTGTGTTAGATGATGATCAATGCTATGGAGAAAAATAAAGTGGGCAAGGGGGATGGTAAGTATGGGCTGGGGTTGGGAGGTTGCCATTTTAAATCTGGTGGTCAGGACAGGCCTCTGTGAGAAGAGGACATTGAGTAAAGACCTGAAGGAAGTGAGGAAGTGGGCCACTGGATTATCTATTGGAAGAGCATTCCAGAGAGAGAATAGCAAATGCAAAAGTCCTGAAGGGAAAATTGGAACCCTCACACATGGCTGAGGGGAATCGGAAAACAGTTCAGCAGCTCCTCAAGAAGTTAAAACATAGAATTACCATATGACCCAGCAATTCTGCTCCCAGGTATATATCCAAAAGAATCTAAAGCAGGGACTCAGATACTCGTACATGCATGTTCATAGCAGCACTATTCCCAATGGCTGAAAGATGGAAAGAGCCCAACAGATGAAGGAATAAATAAATGGTAGTATATTCATACAATGGAGTAACATTTAGCCATAAAAAGGAATGAAGTACTGATACATGCTACAAGGTGGATGGACGTCAAAAACATGCTAGGTGAAAAAAGCCAGTCATAAGAGATCACATATTGTATAATTGCATTTATGTGTAATATCCAGAATAGTTAAATCCATAGAGATGAAGAACAGTTTGGTGGTTGCCAGGGGCTGAGAGGGCAGTGGGGAATGGGGAGTGACTACTTAATGGGTACAGGGTTGACCTTGGGGTGTGATGAAAATGTTGAGGAACTAAATAAAGATGGTTATACAACATTGTGAATGTATTAAATGCCACTGAATTGTTCACTTTAAGATGGTTGACTTTTTAAATTTTGATTTTAAGGTATGTGAATCTCACCTCTACAAAAAAAAAAAAAAAAAAAAACCTAAGCTTAGCAAATCAGGAATATGAAGGAAACCTTTTTAACCTAACCTAATAAAAATCAGCTAACATAACAATGAAAGGTAGAATGGGTCCTGAAGTAGGATCATGCCTAGCTCAAGGAACAGCAACAAGACTGATGGGGCTACAGTAGAGTGGCACTGGACAGGGGAGTGTGTAGTAGGAGATGGGGCCTGTGAGGTGATGTGGACCATGTAGTATATGGCCTCCTAGGTAGTTGTAAGGATTTGGCTTTCATTCAGAGATAGGAAGCCATTAGTGGATTCTGAATGGAGAAGTCTTTAATACCTCAATGAAAAACAAAAAAAAAAAAATTTTTTTCTTTTTTTTTTTTAAGTAGGCTCCATGCCCAGCGCAGACCC